GGTAGTCCTGGTGCGAGTCTGCAGGAGGCTCTCTCGCCGGAGCGGCTTCATGAGTGGGCTGTCCAGTGGGGCAGCCCTGGTGGTGGAGCTAGCCGTCTTCGAGCGGGAGGTGCTGGGACTGCTAGAGTTGGAAGTTCTACTACTGGTGGTACTGGGGGTGCTAATGCTAGTGGCACTGGTGCACGTCGGCAGGAGACTCTCTCGCCAGAGCGGCTTCGCGAGTGGGCTGTCCGTTGGGGCAGCCTTGGTGGTGGCATTGGACGTGCTGGAGCTGCAGGTCCTGAAGGTGCTGGCCCTGGAGGTGCTAGTGCTGGTGTTCCTGGAGTTGGCTGTGCTGGAGGTACTGGTACTGGAGGCACATGTGCGGCTGGAGGTACTGGAGGCGCAGGTGATGCTGGAGGTACTGGAGGTGCTGGCCCTGGAGGTGCTAGTGCTGGTGTTCCTGGAGTTGGAACTGGTACTGGAGGCACAGGTGCTGATGGGGGTACTGGCGGTGCTGACACTGGAGGTACCACTTGAGGTACTGGAGTTAGTGGTGCTAGTCGGCAGGAGTCGCTCTCGCCGCTGCAGCTTCGCGAGTGGGCTGTCAATTGGGGCAGTCCCGGTGGTGGAGCTGGAGGTACTGGTGCTGGGGGTGTTGTTGCTACTGGAGCTGGAGGTTCTGGGGGTGCGACTACTCAGCCGCAGCCGTCTGCGCTTCGTCACCTTCTCAGTCTCCCGCCTTTTGCCACTCAGATCCCGGTTGCTGGTACTACTCCTCCGTTACTGTTCCCACCGACTGTCTAGTCTCAGCCACAGCTACTGCCTGGCTCCCCACTGCCTGCTCCTGCTCCTCAGACTGCGGTTACAGAGTCCTTCACTGAGCGTAGAGAGCCTGCGTCGCGTCCTGTCACGCCTGTCCGTTCTCGCCGTGCTGTGCGTCCTCGTCCTCCACCTGTCCCTCGCACACACATCATGGCACTTCATCCTTCCACTGTTCCACAGCGTGTTGTCCTGCCGTCTCTTCCTGCGTCTTCTCTTCTGCACGTTCCTGACCTTGAGTCAGACCTTGTCCGTACTGCCAGTCCGACTGTCACTCGTCTCCTTGCCATAGTTGTGACTAACCCTTCCTTAGAGTCTGCTGCTACGTCTGCCTTATTTGTTGAGCTTGTTGACTTTGCAGCTTTGTGCCGCCTTGACTGCGCTGCGAGTCGTGTTTTTGACTCTTCCTGTCTTTTGTCCGTCGGGGGTGAGCTTGCCCTTGGCTGTGACGTTCTTCAGGACAGGCTATTTGAGCTGGAGTGCCTAGCGGCAGCTGCACCTCATCTCGCGTCCACGCTACTTTGCCCTGAGGGAGACCCGGATGCACTAGACATCCCGACCCCGCGCACTTACGCAGAGGCGATCACGGGTCCGTACTCCTCTCAGTGGCAGATAGCCATGGACGCAGATATGGCTTCCTGGAAGTCCACAGGCAGCTACGTCGACGAGGTTCCCCCACATGGGGCGAACATAGTCGATGGCATGTGGATTTTCAGGGTGAAGCGGCCGCCGGGTTCTCCTCCTGCCTTCAAGGTGCGTTACGCTGCACGAGGCTTTAGACAGCGTGAGGGGGTCGACTTCTTTCATACCTTCTCCCCCACCCCGAAGATGACCACTCTTCGGGTGCTACTGCACGTTGCAGCACACCGCGGCTACGAGCTGCACTCCCTCGACTTCTTGACAACTTTCTTGCAGAGTAGCCTTCACGAGGCTATCTGGCTGTACCGTCCACGTGGCTTCGTTGGGCCGTTTCCTCAGGGTACCCAGTGGAGTCTTCGACGACCAGTCTACAGCCCACGACAGGCGTTTCGCGAGTGGCACGACACACCGAGGACTAGACTTGCGGCTCTTGGCTTCGCTCCCTCGACTGCTGACCCTTCGTTGTTTCTGCTCACAGACACTTCTCTGCCGACGTTCTACGTTCTCGTGTACGTTGTCAACTTGGTTTTTGCTACTGCTGACACGGAAGCTCTGGCCTTAGTGAAGGCGGAGCTGCAGGAGAGACACACCTGCACTGACTTGGGTGAGCTGCGGATCTATCTTGGCTTGCAGATCACCTGGGACATAGCACGTCGCACCATCACCCTCACTCAGTCACACATGGTGCAGCAGGTATTTCAGTGCTTCGACTTCAAGTGGTCCTCTCCAAAGCCCACTTCTCTGTCTACCGGCCACTCGCTCTCAGCTCCACCTTCGGACGAGTCCGTAGAGCCGAGTGGTCCGTACCCAGAGCTTGTGGGTTGCCTCATGTACCTGACGACGTGCACACGAACTGACGATGTGCCTCTCAGCCTCCTGGCTCGCTACGTGGCTCCTGGTAGACACCGAAAGGTGCACTGGGAAGCTGCGAAGAGGGTATTGTGTTACTTGTGCAGCACATCGGGCATGGATCTCGTGGGATTCAGTTGTTCTCACTGGTCACTCAGACGCTTCTTGGGCTGACGACCAGACGACTCACCGGTCGACACAGGGGTACAGTTTCAGCCTCGGCACTGGTTCTGTCTCGTGGAGGTCCACTCGTTCTTCTTCTGTACTTAGTTCCAGCTGTGAGGCCGAGATCTACGCGGGGGCTATGGCTGCACAGGAGCTCCGCTGGCTGACCTACCGGCTGACCGACTTGGGTGAGCGGCCTCGTTCTCCTCCAGTTCTGTACGTTGACAACAAGGCCATGATTGCCTTGTGTCAGGACCAGAGACTGGAGCACAGAACGAAGCACATTTCTCTCCGTTACTTCCTCACGCGAGAGCTGCAGCAGCGTGGTCAGCTTCGTCTTGCTTACGTGGCCACAGAGGCCAACACTGCTGGTGTCTTCACCAAGGCCCTTGGGTGTAGTGATCATCAGCGTTTCTGCACTGCTCTAGGGCTTGTGCCCACTTTGCCTCACTTGCTGGTCTCTTGATCTTGCCTTGCACTTGTTGTACACTGATATATATGATTATACCTGCATGTTTGCTCTTGCTAGGTTGTGAACAGTGTACTGGCCTTGTGGCCGCTTGCTTGTGCTCAGAATGTGTGGTGATCTTGAGATCCACTCTGAGCTTTGTTTAGCTTTCTTCTCTAGACTGGTCTTGTGACCACATGCTTGTTGCGGTCGGTTTGATGCATCTCACTCAGGCTATGGGGGTGTTCGTCAAAGTTATGTTGCATATGTTAGTTTAGCTTGTAGTGAGTTGTGCCTTAGAGGTACAACATTTTATGTCGACACTTGTCTTGTACCCCTACCTTGACCTAATCTACTACTCATTCCACTCCATTACCTTTCAACAATATCTACCCCCTTGTGTGCCCTCAGTAGTTCATTCATTATGTTCTTGTCACCCCTCCCCAACCCCCCACCCCCCCATATTCGATCTAATCTCCATTCTAACATATTTTTTTAAGGAAGAAATACTGCCTCTATATTCTGTAATGGACAAGAACAACAAACAAATATACTTCCCAATGTACCTAACAGCTTCAGTTCGTACAGTGACTAACAAGATCCACACGGATGTTGCTGCCAGCAGGATAACACCAACGGCGCAGCCACTTGTGCTCAAGCTGGGTTCAACCAGCACGGCTTGAGGAGACCGGGATGGAGCTTGCCTGGGTAAAGACGATCTTGGCGGCGAACAGCATAAGAGAAGCTAAGACCCCACGTGAAGGAAAGGGCCAATCTACATGGGAGGGCCAAACCCAAAGTCGGCTGATAGAACTCGCGGCATGAAGAACCCCATCCGCCTCTTCTCCTCCTCCTCCCTCGCCTCCTCATCCCTCCTCTCCTCCTCCTCCTGCCTCTCAACTGTCCTCTCCTTCTCCCTCTCTCGCACTGCATCCAACCCCTCCTGCCCCTCACGTCCATCCAACCTCCCCTCTTCCTCTGGCTCTTCATCGATTCCCTCTTCTTCCCCCCTCCACCTATCTTCACCCTCCTCACTCCCTTTTTCCTCCTCTTCCAACCCACCACCTCCACTCCCCACATGCCTCGGTCTCTTTCGAACAGGTGTGAGAGAGTGAGGGAGAGGAGGCAAGGGGGGGAGAGCTGTGTCATCCACACCAAGGGAGTGCTGCGCTTGCACCAGTCTCTCCCTCGCTTGCAACATCTCCTGCTGTAGGTACCGATGACGGGTCGTCGCTTCCTGGGATGAGGTAGAGAAAGCGGAAATGGCAAGATAGAGAGAGGGGAAGTCATGAGAACGAGGGCTCAGGCTCGAAACACTAGGGCAATGCAGACAGGAGGTGACAGTAAGAGACAGGAGGCTTGAAACAGTAGCGGTGGAGATCACAGCGGAGACTGCAGCACAGTGCATCCGGACTTGAAGTGCTGGTGCAAAATGGTTCGTGCAGCGGGTGACGAAAGCTGGGTGGAAGATGTGTGAGGAGCGTGTATGTGAGGAGCGTGTATGTGAGGACAAATTTATGCGTCCGTGTTCTGGTTGAGAAGGACGGATGGGTGATAGTTGTGTCTGTGATCCATGTCTCGCCCGAGTCTGGATGATGATGAGAGTGAGGACAAATGACGGCGTTATACACCTCGACTACAGCTGTGCTGCTGCAGCCTGTCGGTCGGGGAGGAAGGAAGGAAGGAAGGATGTCAAGAATCTAATCTGGACACTTTGTCCCCCACTCTCGGTCCTCACCCCAATCACTTTGCTTCTTGCTATTCTCTCACCTCCGACCTCCTCCGACTCCCCCTTCTCACTTGGCAAGCACGCCCACTCTCTCTCCCCTGCAATCTTACTACACTTCCTCTCCCTTTTGTCACACGCCTCAACCTCCTTTCTCACTCGCCTTCCGTTCTTACACTCCCTTCTCCATTGCAGCTTCCCTGACCTCTCACCTCCCCAACCTATCACCTCCCCCAGATCTCACCCCCCCCAGCTCTCACCTCCCCCACCTCTCACCTTCCCCATCTTCATCTCCCCCCAACTCTCACCTCTCCCCACGTCTCACCTCCCCCAGCTCTCACCTCCCCCAGATCTCACCTCCCCAGCGCTCACCTGCACCTCTCTTCTGTGCGCCTCCTCCTTCCTGGCCTCTGCCCGCCCCTGCTTGGCCACCTCCGCTACTATGATACTGCCGCCCATCTGGAGGAGAAAAAGGGAGCAAGTCAAGAGGCCAAATGTCAAGGAGGAATGCTCGGGTTGTGGGAGGAGCGGCTGGCATCGCCCTGCTTGCCCACCTCTGCCACTATGATGCTCCCTCCCATCTGCGGGGAGGGGAAGAGAGGGAATCAAGAGGCCAAATGTCAAGGAGGAGTGCTCGGGTTGTGGGAGGAGCGGCTGGCATGGCCCTGCTTGGCCACCTCCGCCACGATGATGCTGCCGCCCATCTGGAGGGAGGGAGAGAATGAATCAGAAGGCCCAGATGTCAAGGAGGAATGCCAGGACTCTGGGAGAGAGGTTGGTGACCTGCTCGCATGGCCCTGCTTGCCCACCTCTGCCATCTGGAGCGATGGGAAGGGACGGAATGAAGAGGTTGGGATGGGAGAGTGGGATGCTGGGATGCTGGGATGCTGGGATGCTGGGATGCTGGGATGCTGGGATGCTGGGATGCTGGGATGCTGGATGCTGGGATGCTGGGATGCTGGGATGCTGGGATGCTGGGATGCTGGGATGCTGGGATGCTGGGATGCTGGGATGCTGGGATGCTGGGATGCTGGGATGCTGGGATGCTGGGATGCTGGGATGCTGGGAGAGAGGCTGGATGGCCTCCTCTGCCATTCTGTGCTGCCTTCCAGGGTTTGTCCAACCGTGCATGCTAGGCCACGTCAACAATTGTGCTGGTCACGGCTCCATAGGGGGAGAGAGATACTCTTGCAGGCATGAATCGTTGGTGCATCCGCTGGTCAAACCCGCTGGTCAAGCATTGCTGTTGTGTCGAAAAGGGAAGGACGGATGGTGGGACACAGCATGGGCATATGACCGCGACGGGTTCTATTCTATTGTGACGAACGTGGGCAAGCATGACTGCACCTTTCGTCGCATCACCGAGACCCGAACACCATCACCTCCTCTCTTGGCATCACCTAGTTGGTGTTCACTTGGCCTCACCCCTCACCCCTCACCCCTCACCCCGAACACAAAGAGCTCCCCCAGCAGGTGCGCCGCCAGGTCAACAGCCCCCTCCTCGTTGAGCGGGCGGATGGGCAGGTGGCGTGGCGGTGCCCACCCTCACCCCACGTGTGATCACACCCTCTCCTCTCCTCCCACCACCTCCCACCTCACCCCAAAGACGAATAGCTCCCCCAGCAGGTGCGCGGCCAGGTCCACAGCCCCCTCCTCGTTGAGTGGCCGGATGGGCAGGTGGCGGTGCTGCCTGTCGTGCTGCCGCGTGTCCAGCCGCCTGTGCAGGCGCACGTTCATGCGATGGAAGGCCTGGTGGGGTGGGGAAGGGAGGAGGAATGGGAAGTTGGAGAGTAGATTCGGTTAAGAGTGGTTCTACGTGGCGAGAAATGCAGAGCTGTTTGTCCTGCCCCCTGTGCAGGCACACGTTCATGTGGCTTCCAAACCACTTACTTCGCTGCGGCACGGGAGGAGGACGAACGGATACCCACGACACGCTACGGGATGCAAGATCCCGTCGCCCAAGACGCGGGCTTCATCGTCCACAAGGAGACGACTGTTTTCTGCATTTTGAGTCGACTCAAAAGAACGGATACCCATGACACGCTACGGGATGCAAGCACGGGAACCCGCATTGCCCAAGACGCGGCGCGGGCTTCGTTGTCCCAAGGAGAATGTGCCCCGTGGACGACCAGAAGGCTGATTTGGCAATTCGGGACAGAGATTCTGGTGCTGCTTGGATCTGCAACATCACAATCACAGATCCCATCAGCACCAGAGACCCCCGGGCACAGAAAGGTCGGGGGTGGGCAGCACAGGAAGCAGCGAAGAAGAAAGTATACCATTACCGGAACAGAGCAGAGTCCATTGGCCTCTCCCCCCTGATTCTTGACACTTATGGCTGCCCGTGTGGGGAACTCTCCGCGTTTCTCAGACTCATGGTGGACACGACGGCACGGGGACTCTATAATGCCGACCTTACAACGTACGAGGCAGCAAAGCTGTTGCACCTGTCTTCCGCCAGCGATGGTCCGTCGAAATACAGCGGGGCAGGCCATCAGCTTCCTCATCAAGCTGAATGAAGCGACACAGGCCGACAACCCACCCATTGGAGGGCCAACGGACGTACTCTCACCTGAAGAGTGCTTCATTGCCTGGGGAGCAGGGGCTGAAACTCCCTTAGAGAGAGGTCCCTGAAGTAAACATTGCGGGTTACATTTGCTTGCCTAGTAGCTTTCAAGAACACCACTAGCTCAGCCGCCCTCTATCTCTGATTGTCCCTTTGCCTTATCATTACAATGACCGCTTTAGTGGTTTTACAGTGCTGCGCACCCAGGCTCAAGGGGGGGAGGCGAGGTTTATGAAAGAGTAGGAGAAGGCATGGTGAGGTGAGACAGTAATGCCTCGATGCCCTATCTTCCCTGGCTCACAGGGTACCTGAGAGCTCACCACCTGATAGCACACCTGAGCACGCACCTGGGCGACTCAGTATCAGAACCCATGCACACCCGGGTTCCAGCCTGAGAGAACGAATGAGAGCAGACCTGAGATCAAACCAGAGAGCCTACCTGAGAGCACACCTTGGCGAGGAGCACGCTTACCTGAGCGAGGAGAATGACTTTCTCTCGGAACCCCGTGTCATGCGCCGCAGCAGCCGCGACGGTGAGCTTGATGGGCGCGCCGATCGTCTCCACCAGCGCCGCCATCAGCCGTAGATGCACCGGCAGCATCGCGCGCGCGACCCGCCTTCCTGCGCTCGTCTCTGTTCAGCGACACCTTGCCGATACGTGCGTGGCGAGCGGCGGGCACACCGCGCGCGGCTGGAACGGCCGCGCGTACGGACCGTTTATGACGCCGCGGCTCGCGACGCGGCGAGCATGGCTGGCCCTAACAGGTGTGTCTCAGGCGCTCCGGGAAACAGGCACGGGACGCATCGTCGAGGTAACAGGATGAGAGACACGCCGCGTATCGAGAGGTACACAGACAGGAGAGGCGAACGATGCGACCTAAACGCTCCCGCTGTAAATACCAGCCTCAGCCTCCCGTATTTTCACGTTCTTAAGAATGTGACATACGGTGGATAGCTAAATCGACGGCGAGTTTCGTTCTCGATCGAAAGTGGGAATGAAGTGGGAATGCTGTTTGAGGTCAGCAAAAAATACGGTGGTCTTTATTTCGATAGCTACTTTTCTAGACTTGCTCGGTTCACAGGAAGTCATTAGTCTGCAGTGGTTGACGGGTGGGATGGAAACTGGTTGAAAGTAAAGATTGAACTGTCACCGTCGATGTTGTGCGGAAAAGAACAATAGCAAGTCTGATTGGTCTGGTGCTTGCCGAAAATGCGGTCACACCACCACACCACAGCACCCTGATTCCTCGGTGTTCGGAGCTGTCAGAAGGTATGATGTAAGGCGAAATTCGATATAGGTTCAAGTTATGGCATAATGTGTGAACTCTGTGATCCACAGCGTCGATATTGCTTTTTCGTGGAGTCGTCTTTGACAGCTCATAACGGCGAAATCCAAAGTGAAATACGACACTTTTTAAAACCAGGGTGCACATTCAACGCGGTTCGGCTTGAGATGTTGGGAAGGGGGTTTGGAGAAAAACAGTGATTGGCTCACGAGGGGCGACAAAAAAATGATTCCGCTAGAGCTTCGGGCATTTCGTAGGTGGCGGGAGGGGGTGAAATGGCGGGAGTGGGTGAAACCGAATGGCGGGAGGGATGAAACAGATTGGCGGGAGGGGGGGGAAACGAAATTGCGGGGGAGGGGGGAAACAAAATTGCGGGGGAGGGGGGAAACGAATTTCGACGGGGAGGGGGAAATGAAATTGCGGGGGCGTGGGGAAACGAAATTGCGGGGGAGGGGGGAAACGAATTTCGACTTGAAGGGGTTGAAAGCACACCTCGTAACCCACTCAGTCAAGGGATGATGCACATTCAGCTGAATGTGCACCCCGCCCTCGCCCCCGCTCCGACAAGTGTCAGCACATCTTGACTGTCGGATGCGTAATAGAAGGGTTGAAATTCGCCGACATCCACCAGAGTTTTGTCGATGATGGATGCTGCCTTACAATTCGGGAGACGCCCTAACGGAGTTGATCCAGTCTTGTGCTGGACAATTTTCGACAGAGTTGTTAGACTACTTTCGAGATTCCATTCGTCCCTCCATTCGCCCCCACACTGTGTTGCGAGTCCCGACTTCATGCCACAACTGTTCCACGCCGTCCCTAGTTGCTCGGGTGTTTCTATATCGGATCGCAACTGCCAATAGGTCCGCCTGGTGCTGCCTCGCTGAAGATCGTCTCGCTGAGCGACTCAAACGAGTCGCAGAGTTTGTGAATCACACGCAGTCGCACATGGCGGCGACGTCGCTGGACGATAGCTGGCGAGCCTTGGGTTTGCAAGATCCACCGTCGGCGATCCTTGATGACGTCATCAACGCTGTACGAGCCCTCATCCAGCGTCTCATTCACCTACAGCATCTCGCCACGTGTCTCGAGCTAAGCTGCAAACGCGTCGATTCAGTTATAACGGCTCAGAGAATAAGCTCTTTAGAATGAACCGTCCGACATCGATTGACTGCCGTTGACTCTGCGTTCGTCCAGCACCCCGCACGTCAGTGACCGTGGTTGTCGTACATGCTCAGCGTCGTGTCGTGTCTTCGTGAGACGCCTAAAAAAATAGTCAAGCACCCTCGACGTCAGTCACAGTAGCTGTCGTACGGGTTCACCATCGTGTCCCCACCGCCACTCCCGTGAAAGTAGATTTGTTCTGAGACGTCTCACAACAGATTTACTTTCACCTGACTGCCGTTGCCTCTGTGGTCGTCAAGCACCGTGTTGTCTCCACATCAGTCACTGCCGCACAGATTCAGCATCAAGTCCCCACCGCCGCTCCGCACATACATTCCCTCGCTATGTGCTTGTTGCCGAGGCGGGGAGGGAGGAGGCAGTGGGGTTGGAGTGTCGGGTGCGGCGAATGCGTGGGCCCGCGGGATAGCTACTTTTGAAACGTCCGGACTAACTGAGTGCGACAGTCACCAAACCTTCGTCTCCTGTCCCTTATTCTTCCCCTCCCTTTTGCCTGCTTCCCCATTCCCCCCTCGCCCCCGTTCCGCCTGCTTTCCCGTCCCCCTGCTCCCCCGTTCCCCCTGTTCCCCGCCCCCCTGGTCCGCCACCCTCCCTGCTCCCCTGGTCGTGCGCGGGACCCCAGGTGCACGAGACGTGGCTGGACGGCATTGAGGAGCTGCGCAGGTGAGGTGTGAGCTGAGAAGGTGAGGTGTGAGCTGAGAAGGTGAGGTGTGAGCTGAGAAGGTGAGGTGTGCGCTGAGAAGGTGAGGTGTGAGCTGAGAAGGTGAGGTGTGAGCTGAGAGCTGGCTAAGGTGTAGGGCGGACAGCGTGGGGGAGAGAACTGGTGGAGGAGATTGGGTTTAGAAAGAACTAAGTGTGCGTCAGTTTTCCAGAGCCCACCCTGTAGTAGTGTATAGAAACAAGGACAAGGTGGGCGGGACCGCAGGGCAGGTGCACGACACGTGGCTGGATGGTATTGATGAGCTGAGGAGGTGAGCTGTGAGCTGCCGACAGTGTGGGGGCGAGAGTGGGTGACGGAGAGCGAGCGACTTAACAGTGCGCGAGAGAGCAGTGGACTTGCGAAATGTGGGCGTATGGTTATGCACGCGGCGCTTGGCGTTTCAGTCTGAACCTCCTAATTCCTGTTTCCGCTGTTTTGCTAGCCTCTTGTGGTCGTTGCATTGCAGCAGCAGTCGGACCCTCTCTGACGGCTCTTGCAGTTCCTGTCCTCGCCTCACCTGTTCTCCCTGTACTGTCCAACGGGTGCCCGTTGTGAATCGCTTTGCATCCGCATGATGTCGGGTTATGGAATCTCCCCATATGGCATGCCAAAACATGATATGGCATGTTATGACGTGGCATGCATGGCGTGACGTGGCATGGCATGTGTGCGGCCACAGCTGCATCATGGAGAAGTGCCCTGAAGGGGGGAAGGCCAAGCTGCAGCAGGTGAGATGGATGGATGGACTGACTCTCTCAATCTTTCACTCTCTGACTGACTCGCTCCCTCACTCACTCTTTTATTGTCTCACTCACTCACTCACTCACTGACTTACTCACTCTCTGACTGACTCACTCACTCTCCGACTGACTGACTGACTGACTGACTGACTTACTCACTCTCTAATTGACTGATTGCGTACTCACTTACTGAGTGGCTCACGCACTCATTCACTCACTCGCTCATTCACTCACTCACTCATTAACTCGCTCACCTATTTCCTCACTCACCTATTCACTCACTCACTCATTCACTCACTCACTCACTCACTAATTCACTCACTCACTCACTCATTCACTTACTCGCCTATTCACTAACTCACCTATTCACTCACTCGCCTATTCACTAACTCACCTATTCACTCACTCACTCACTCATTCACTCACCTATTCACTCACTCACTCATTCACTCACCTATTCACTCACTCACCTATTCACTCACTCACTCATTCAATCACTCATTCACTCACCTATTCACTCACTCACCTATTCACTCACTCACAGCCCTGATTAACTGGCTGACTGCCCTGCGTTAGCATCACACAGAAACCCTTTTAGTGCTTGTGTTGTTTCTTTCTTTCCCAAACAGCGAGGAGTGTTTTGAGTTGACTCAAGGCACACACTCTTTCATCCCCCTGTCGTTTCACTCCACATGCGCACATCAGGGTCTGGACGAGGCGTACCATCTGGTGGAGCAGCGCGTAGAGCCCGTCAAGACAGACTCACTGGCTCACTGGTTTCTATTCGTCTGCTTCTTTGTATTTCCCTGTCGTGTGGGCTTCACATGCATGCATCAGGTCCTGGATGAGGTGAGGCGTGCCGTCTGGTGGAGCAGCGCATAGAGGAGCACATGGGAGCCTTCAAGAATGACTCATCCCTACCGCGCTCTTCGCTCCCCTACGACTGTTTTCTCCTCGACTTGTTCCTTGTATCTCCCCATCTTGCTTCCTTGCATGCACATCAGGACCTGGACGAGGCATACCACCTGGTGGAGCAGCGCATAGAGGAGCACATGGAGGCCTTCAAGACCCGCGCCCTCGCCACTGCCTTCGCCCTGCCCCCCTCGCTACAAGCACACCTCGCCTCACTGCCACCTCACCTACCACGCACAACAGCTGCGCCAGCTGGCAGCGAGGTTGGAACAGGCGGGGACGATGACCTGGCGGCTGAAGCGGCGGCTCTAGATGCTGAGCTGGCAGAGCTCAATGCCACGCTGGCAAAGGTGCAGAGCGTTATCCAGATGTGCTGTTGCTTTCTGTACTGACTGTTATGCTTTCCTCCCTCCTTCCTTCTGCTCAGTCCCTTCACTCTCCCCCTCTTCTATCCATACATGTGCATTTTAATCTGTATAAACTACTACCGTCCCTTCTCCCAACACACGCTGCCCTGTTTCCTTGTCCTACCTCTCCTCCATTTTTTAGCTCACTCATTTCTTCCCATTTTGCCTCGCACTCCTCTCACTTTTTGTCTACGTTAAGTTTCTCGCACTTCTGCACAATCATTTTGTCCCTTCGCTTTTCACTCATCTTCTCCGTTCTTCACTTGTCCCTATCGCCCTTAACCACCCATGTGTGCCCCCCTTGCCCACCCATGTGTGCCCCCCTTCCCCACCCATGTGTGCCCCCCTTCCCCACCCATGTGTGCCCCCCATCCCCTTTTTCAGAAAAGAGCAGAGCTGCGAGCGATGAGGCGGGAGCAGCGACAGCAGCTGGCGGCAGTGGGGAGTGAGGGGCAGCTGAAGCAGCTGCAGCAGATAATGCAAGCAGACCACAGCGGTGGGTGATGTGTGCACTTATGCATGTGTGGATGTGTGCACTTATGCATGTGTGGATGTGTGCACTTGTGCATGTGTGCATGTGTGCATGTGTGCATGTGTAGATTCATGGGTGCATAAGGGAGTGACCAAAGCTGCTGCTGAAGCAGTTGATGCGAGGCGACCACAATGGTGGGTGATGTATGTGGGTGAGTGCATGAGTGCATGTGTGCACGGATGAGTGCATGTGTGCACGGATGGGTGCATGTGTGCACGGATGGGTGCATGTGTGCACGGATGGGTGCATGTGTGCACGGATGGGTGCATGTGTGCACGGATGGGTGCATGTGTGCACGGATGGGTGCATGAGGGAACAACGACAGGTGCAGCAGCAGGCGGCAGTGAGCAGTGAGGGGCGGCTGCAGGTGCTGCAGATGATGCGAGTGGACTGCTGTGGTGGGTGGCATGTGCATGCATCTTGAGGGCATGGAAGCATGGATGGAAGCATGGAAGCATGGAAGCATGGATGGAAGCATGGAAGCGTGGAAGCATGGAAGCATGGAAGCATGGAAGCATGGAAGCATGGAAGCATGGAAGCATGGAAGCATGGAAGCATGGAAGCATGGAAGCATGGAAGCATGGAAGCATGGAAGCATGGAAGCGTGGAAGCATGGAAGCATGGAAGCATGGAAGCGTGGAAGCGGAAGCGTGGAAGCATGGAAGCGTGGAAGCGTGGAAGCGTGGAAGCGTGGAAGCGTGGAAGCGTGGAAGCGTGGAAGCGTGGAAGCGTGGAAGCGTGGAAGCGTGGAAGCGTGGAAGCGTGGAAGCGTGGAAGCGTGGAAGCGTGGAAGCGTGGAAGCGTGGAAGCGTGGAAGCGTGGAAGCGTGGAAGCGTGGAAGCGTGGAAGCGTGGAAGCGTGGAAGCGTGGAAGCGTGGAAGCGTGGAAGCGTGGAAGCGTGGAAGCGTGGAAGCGTGGAAGCGTGGAAGCATGGAAGCATGGAAGCATGGAAGCATGGAAGCAAGCATGGAAGCATGGAAGCATGGAAGCATGGAAGCATGGAAGCATGGATGGAAGCATGGAAGCATGGAAGCATGGAAGCATGGATGGAAGCATGGAAGCATGGAAGCATGGAAGCATGGAAGCATGGATGTATGGAAGCATGGATGCATGGAAGCGTGGTGGCACTGGTTACATGTATGCACGGGTGTTGGCTTGCATATTTCTCCTGCCTCCGAAAGCCTCCATCACATTTTTCCCTTCCGTTTTCTCCCCTCCATGTCCTCCCCTTCTCGTCCTCCCCTTCTCATCCGCTCCTTCTCGTCCACCCCTTCTCATCCGCTCCTTCTCGTCCTCCCCTTCTCATCCGCTCCTTCTCGTCCGCCCCTTCTCGTCCGCCCTTCGCTAACCGCAGAGCTGCTGGCCTCGCACGATCGACTGCAAGCGCAGCAGCACACAGCCATGGACATGACTGGTGAGGCGTGGGGGTGAAAAAAGGGTGAAGCGGTCATGGGGGGTGCTGTGTGGGTGGTGAGGTGTGGGGGTGAGATGTGAGGGGGGCGAGGGGCTGAGGCGGTCATGGGGGGTGCTGTGTGGGGGCTTTTGATTCGACTCAAAATGCAAGCGCAGCAGCACACAGCCATGGACATGACAGGTGAGGCGTGGGGGTGAGGTGTGGGGATGAGGCGTGGGGGATGAGACGTGCATTCTTGCACCCATGCATTCTTGCACCCATGCATTCTTGCACCCATGCATTCTTGCACCCATGCATTCTTGCACCCATGCATTCTTGCACCCATGCATTCTTGCACCCATGCATTCTTGCACCCATGCATTCTTGCACCCATGCATTCTTGCACCCATGCATTCTTGCACCCATGCATTCTTGCACCCATGCATTCTTGCACCCATGCATTCTTGCACCCATGCATTCTTGCACCCATGCATTCTTGCACCCATGCATTCTTGCACCCATGCATTCTTGCACCCATGCATTCTTGCACCCATGCATTCTTGCACCCATGCATTCTTGCACCCATGCATTCTTGCACCCATGCATTCTTGCACCCATGCATTCTTGCACCCATGCATTCTTGCACCCATGCATTCTTGCACCCATGCATTCTTGCACCCATGCATTCTTGCACCCATGCATTCTTGCACCCATGCATTCTTGCACCCATGCATTCTTGCACCCATGCATTCTTGCACCCATGCATTCTTGCACCCATGCATTCTTGCACCCATGCATTCTTGCACCCATGCATTCTTGCACCCATGCATTCTTGCACCCATGCATTCTTGCACCCATGCATTCTTGCACCCATGCATTCTTGCACCCATGCATTCTTGCACCCATGCATTCTTGCACCCATGCATTCTTGCACCCATGCATTCTTGCACCCATGCATTCTTGCACCCATGCATTCTTGCACCCATGCATTCTTGCACCCATGCATTCTTGCACCCATGCATTCTTGCACCCATGCATTCTTGCACCCATGCATTCTTGCACCCATGCATTCTTGCACCCATGCATTCTTGCACCCATGCATTCTTGCACCCATGCATTCTTGCACCCATGCATTCTTGCACCCATGCATTCTTGCACCCATGCATTCTTGCACCCATGCATTCTTGCACCCATGCATTCTTGCACCGCACCCATGCATTCTTGCACCCATGCATTCTTGCACCCATGCATTCTTGCACCCATGCATTCTTGCACCCATGCATTCTTGCACCCATGCATTCTTGCACCCATGCATTCTTGCACCCATGCCCATGCATTCTTGCACCCATGCATTCTTGCACCCATGCATTCTTGCACCCATGCATTCTTGCACCCATGCATTCTTGCACCCATGCATTCTTGCACCCATGCATTCTTGCACCCATGCATTCTTGCACCCATGCATTCTTGCACCCATGCATTCTTGCACCCATGCATTCTTGCACCCATGCATTCTTGCACCCATGCATTCTTGCACCCATGCATTCTTGCACCCATGCATTCTTGCACCCATGCATTCTTGCACCCATGCATTCTTGCACCCATGCATTCTTGCACCCATGCATTCTTGCACCCATGCATTCTTGCACCCATGCATTCTTGCACCCATGCATTCTTGCACCCATGCATTCTTGCACCCATGCATTCTTGCACCCATGCATTCTTGCACCCATGCATTCTTGCACCCATGCATTCTTGCACCCATGCATTCTTGCACCCATGCATTCTTGCACCCATGCATTCTTGCACCCATGCATTCTTGCACCCATGCATTCTTGCACCCATGCATTCTTGCACCCATGCATTCTTGCACCCATGCATTCTTGCACCCATGCATTCTTGCACCCATGCATTCTTGCACCCATGCATTCTTGCACCCATGCATTCTTGCACCCATGCATTCTTGCACCCATGCATTCTTGCACCCATGCATTCTTGCACCCATGCATTCTTGCACCCATGCATTCTTGCACCCATGCATTCTTGCACCCATGCATTCTTGCACCCATGCATTCTTGCACCCATGCATTCTTGCACCCATGCATTCTTGCACCCATGCATTCTTGCACCCATGCATTCTTGCACCCATGCATTCTTGCACCCATGCATTCTTGCACCCATGCATTCTTGCACCCATGCATTCTTGCACCCATGCATTCTTGCACCCATGCATTCTTGCACCCATGCATTCTTGCACCCATGCATTCTTGCACCCATGCATTCTACACCTCTCTTCCCGCCCTCAACACCTCCCTTCCCGCCCTCTACCCCTTTCTCGCTCTCGCTCTCTCGTTCTTCAGGTGACAGGGTGCCCGCGTCTGAAGAGGGAGGAGGCAGGGAGGAGGGTGTGGCGGTGTATGCAGCAGCGCAAGGCGGGCTGAGCGCTGTTGAGGAGCACATGGGGAAGCAGGCGGAGAACGGGGGCAAGGCGTGAGGGAGGAGGGCGAAGGTAGGAGAGAAGAGATTTTTGCAGGGTCAGCAGCAAGAGGGAAGGGTGCTGTAGGGTGCAGCAGAGCAAGGTGGGCTGAGTGCTGTTGAGGAGCACATGGGGAAGCACGCGGAGGAAGGGGGAGAGGCGTGAGGGAGGAGATTTACGCAGCATCAGCAGCAGGAGGGAAGGGTGCTGTGGTGGTGTGGATGAAAGTGTAAGAGAGCTCACAGAAAAAGGCTAAGGAGGTGGAGGGGGAGAGAAAGGGGTTGGGGAAAGGAGAGGACGGCAGGGCTGTGTAGGCAACAGATTGTAGTGGTGTGTGTGTGGAGTGGAGGCGTGTGCTGAAATACTTTGTGAGAATTCTCACAAGTGTGGAGTGGAGGGTTGTGCCAGGGATCCCACAGTTGGTGGATGGGAGGCAGAGACTTGCGAGGACGAGGGCAGAGTAGCAGCAGCATAAGGGAAGGTCACTATGGTGGCATTGGCAAGAGCACTGAGAGAGGGAGTGGTGTGTGGGTGAATGGGGGTTGATTGATTGTATAGATATGTGTACAGGTAATGGGGACCAAGGGATATATCTGGAGGATTGAACATGAGTTGTGTTGTTTCCACAAGTTCCAATTGCATCTTTCAGAGCCAGTTGTTGCTGATAAAACAACTCCTTTACATTGCTGTGATTGTGATACGTACTATACGCAGCCAGACATTCATGTGCTTGTGCGACTCCTGCACTGCGAGGCATGGAAACATAACCGTAGCAGCCTCAGCCTCTCTGGCAGGCACTGCCCACCCACAGGTTATGGTTCGCATGCAGCTGTATACCTGCGCCCTGCGATGCAAGCTATGCCTTGGCTTGAATCCCAGTACCCACCCCCCGCAACCGGAATGGCTTTCATGCCCACGAGCCCATGGGTGTGTTTTTTTAGTCGGCTCAAAGAAATGAGTCGATGGGTGGGTGCACTGCTTGCGTCATCTGTGTGGCTGCACGCACAGGGTAGGAGATGTTAGTCGTTAGACGCCAGTTGGTGTTAAGAAGGCGGCAATGGGTGTAGCACAGATGACAGTGCAGACAATGGCAGGGCATACTATGTCATCAGAAGACTGTGCATTGTGCACTCATACGATACCGTGGCATACCTGTTTGGACCGCACACTGCTCTGCGGGGCATGGTGTGGGCGTGGCGGGCAGCGGAGTGTGCTGAGGTGGCAGTGGTCAGTGAAGACACGGCTTGCGCGTTCTCGGAACACCGAGTCATACCTGCTTGGACCGCACTGCTCTGCGCGGCATGGCGTGGGCGTGGCGGGCAGCAGCGTGTGCCCCCGTGGCTGCTGCAGCTGCTGTGGTTGCTGCCATGGGTCTCCGACGCACAGCGGATGCGGCTGCTGCTGCGAGCACAAACACCTGGTGGAGGCAGCAATGAGAGGGGCCGGGTGGAGCAGAGGGGAGAGGGAGGAGGGGCAGCGGCGGAATGACTCACAGCAAACACAGGCCACGGGTGGCAGAGAGCTTCTGTTGAATGTTCATACTTGGATGGCAGTTTGTAGCACAGCCACTAGTCGCAGTTATGGCTGCCCCCACAGCAGCAGCAGGCATGGTGATGCTAAGGGTTATGCCATCTCATCCCATTTGTCAGTCTGTCCTCCTCAGTGCCTATGTCACCACACTGCATGTCATCACATTAAGCACCCCATGGCATCTCATCTCATCTCACCTCACCTCACCTCACCTCACCTCACCTCACCTCACCTCACCTCACCTCACCTCACCTCACCTCACCTCACCTCACCTCACCTCACCTCACCTCACCTCATCTCATCCCATCCCATCCCATCCCATCTCATCCCATCCCATCCCATCCCATCCCATCCCATCCCATCCCATCCCATCCCATCCCATCCCATCCCATCCCATCCCATCCCATCCCATCCCATCTCATCTCACCTCATCTCACCTCATCTCATCTCATCTCATCTCATCTCATCTCATCTCATCTCATCTCATCTCATCTCATCTCATGGCACCTCATGTGAACTCACTGAGCCCAGAGATACTGACCTGACCAGCAAGAGAAACCATGAATCCATACTTGTCCTTGAGGGCAGTTGAGACATCACAATCAACCGCAGCATCTAACTCACCGGTGTGCGTGCGCCAGAGAGCAGCAGAGGCACCATGGCAGGGTTTCGGGTTTAAGCCAACCCTCGGCGAGTAGACCACAAAGTCCCGTACTCACTTCTGATTGCCCCCCTTCCCAACTCACCGGAGTGAGCCAGAGAGCAGCAGAGGCGCCGTGGAAGGGAGGGGAGTAGACCACAGAGTCCCCGTACTCGCTTTTGAGTGACTCTAGTATCTCGCCCTCCTGCCGCCCCGCCCTCAGCTCGTCCCGAATCATCTGCGCAGGGATGCATGCACGTCGAGGTGCATGTGCATGTGCATGTGCATGTGCATGTGCGTATGTGCATGTGCGTGTGCATGTGTACGTGTATGGCAAAGGTCCGCATTAAGGCTGCATGACAGGCACCCACGCGTGCATCAAGTGGCTTTCTTTCGCCTGTAAGTCAGCACGTTCGAGGATTTGTCGCCCAGCTTTCAAGCACACCCACAGACATGCTCATAAAACAAGACAACAAGATACACAAGGCAGCAGCGGGCATGAGAGATGTTCTCCATGCCACGAGCCATCTTGCTGCGTGCCATGCTGCGTGCCATGCTGCGTGCCATGCTGCATGCCATGCCACGAGCCTGTTACAACCGCGTCCCGCCCCACAGCTGCTGGCTGGATTTGCTGCTACTTGGTAACCAACTGCTACAGCCATCTTCTTTTGAGGCGCCTCAGAACGGGCCTCTGAAGCCATTTGCCAGAAACAATCGCAGCTAATCAAGTGTGGATCGCTAAGACCAGACCATCTACTCCACGCATCAACTGACACAGCCGCATCAGCAGCCACTCCGCCTAGCTCCTCTCTCAGTGCTCCTCACCTGTGCTCTCCAGCTCCGTGGCTGGCTGGCTTTAAGCCCGCCACTGTACTGCTATAAGCATATGCGTTAAAGGAAAGCACCTTGCGCATGAACACCCGTGGGATTCCTCAATGCTCTGGTGCCCGCGCTTGGCACGCCACACCATGCTGCTCCGCACCCACCCCAATGCCTCAAGCTCCGCCACTAGAGCCGCACTGCACTGCTATAAGCACATCCATTAAAAGCACTAACCTTGCGCATGAAAACAGCGACGTCAGCGTTGGAATCCTCAATGCTCTGGTGCCCGCACTCCACACACCGCACCTTGCTGCTCAGCACCCGCGCCCTTGAGTCTGGCCCCACTAGTACACTGAACAGTTATAAGCACATTCGTTAAGACCACCTACCTTTCGCATGAAAATGGCCACGTCAGCATTGGATTCTTCGATGCTCTGGTGCCCGCACTCCACACACCGCACCTTGCTGCTCAGCACTCTAGCCCTCGCCTCCAACTCCGCTGCTCGCAACCGCTGCTCCCGCGCTGCTGCTGCCACTGCTGCTGCATCTGCTGTTGCTGTCTCTGCTATTGGTGCGGCTGCTGCTGGTGCTACTGTTGCTAGCGCGGCTGCAGCTGATGTCTTCCCTTCTGATACTGCTTCTGGTCTCGAGGCAGCACACGAAGCTTCTGAAACAGCAGGAGCTGCAGGCGCAGCAAGAGGCGCAGCAGGAGGCGCAGAGCCAGCAGGAGTAGAGATTTGACGCGAGTCGATAGGGGCGTTCACAGGAGGCAGTCCCGCGCTAGTGGCCTTACTGCCTGCTGCTCCCATGGCGGCCCGCACTGCGCCTCACTGCCCAAGCTGTCTCAAGCTCTCATGCGAACGGGTTCGACCACCTACTCCACTAGTAGTTCTGCGGAACGCACGTAGCCCCTACTCGCCGCGACACCGTTCGCTGCACACACGGTGCTGCTGTGACTCTAGAGTCGACTCAAGCTTTCTCACGCTCTCATGCGAAGGAGGAACACCAACCACGTCTCTAGTACTGCGGAACAAGGCTCGAGCGTCTCACGGAAAAAGAGGTGACTCTTGAGTCGACTCAAAGGTAAAATCGGGAGTCCTGCGGAAATAACGGCTGGCGAAGGTGCGACAGGAGAGTCAAAAGAACCACCATACGTTCTTAGTCAAATTCTGTCGATTGGATGCAACAACGGTTGTTCGCTCTACAGCACCCGGTACGATGCCTCAAACGACCGACAAGATTGAACACGCCGCGACGACTAAAGAGTGTGCGATGCGACAGGCGGTTCGCAGGCGCACAGAACGAGGACTTGACTGGGGAGGACGAGCAGCCACATTTTGTAGTGCGATTGTGGTCTATCGAGCAAACTGAAACTGTATTGAAGAAGCTACTGAATGAAACAAGAACGAGGCTAAAATAGGTGGAATCTAGCTAGGCGAGGACCTCGGGCTAGAGAGGTTCGGCAGGGTGGTGTCTGGCGAGAAGTGCGGGTAGCGACTCGGGAGTGGTTCGGGGCGAAATCGTAGGCCGAACCAGCTGACACAACCGCAAGTATCGCTAAAGAGCAAAGTTGTTTCGAGGCTACAATGAACAATGAATATTAGTGTGGTACAATGAATCTTGGATCCAGGTTTCCTTAATGAGTTAGACGCTACAATGAACAATGAATACGAGTGTGGGACAAGATGTTTTACAAGTGCATTAGCCCAAATGAAGAATATTCGCCAGAAAAACTAGGGTTTTGATATGTTTATTGATATGCAGCAAGGAACTATTTACTGTAGCAGGTCACACCAGACGGAATTGGAAGAACGATCACAAGTTTGCAATCCATCATGATATTGCTGGTAAAGCTCATGGCTGAATCTGGTTTCATGCCCTTTTCTTACCTACAAACAAATTTTACCCTAAACGGATTTAGAGGCAGCAGCTGTAGCAGCGCGCACAGCTGTAGCGGAGACGGCAGCATTAGGGCGTCGCAGCGAGTGCATGAGAGCAAGCATGGCGGCAAAGAGAGTGAGCGCGCCTGCTTGATGTGCTGAGCCCAGAGACACAGGCACGTATGTGAGCAGCGCTGATATGCCCAGCGTGACCTGGTGGGGGGTGGCAAAGAGGGGCAATGATCGGGAGAGAGAAACACAGTGTCAAGCTAGCCCAGGGAGACTGGCACGTATGTGAGCAGCGCTGATATGCCCAGAGTGACCTGGTGGGGAGGATTGGCAGAGAGGGTGATTGGAGACGCGAGAAGAGGGTGACTGTCTACTTTGAGAGAGACAAACAAGCCAGTTTCTGTGTGGTGTGCTGCTGAGCCCAGGGACACAGGCACGTATGTGAGCAGAGTTGACATGGCCAGAGTCACCTGGTGAGGGAATGGCAGGTGAGGGGCAATGAAAGGGAGTGAGTGTGACAAGACAAGACAAGACAGTGTCAGGCGAGCCCAAGCTGGGTGTGCCGAACAGTGCGTCAAAGAGAGAGGCACGTACGTGAGCAGCAGCAATGATGAGCCCCAAGATTTGGTGGGGGAATGGCAGGTGAGGATCAATGGATGGGAATGTGAGCACAGGTGTGATGCCCTAAAGCGAACACTAGTTCCCCAGAACCCTGTATCCCTTCCTGCAGTGCAGTGCGGCCAAGGCGGTGTTGAGCAGCCGGGCATGGCGCAAGTTACGGGCAGGAGACTCAGGTGCACACTTCAATATGCACAATATATTTTCCACATTGGAAAAAAAACAAACAAACATGCAAACAAAAGGCCTGCATACTCAAGTGCACACTTCAATATGCAGGATATGCTTTTAAGATCATCAAAAGCATCCTGCTCTAGTGCACACTTGTGTACTGTGCTGACTTCTCCCTATCCGTAGCTGCAGCACCATGATTACGGGGGCAGTGTTGTGCAGGCAAGCAGAGTGAGCAGTGGCAGGGCACACATAGGATAGGATATCCCCAGTGCGCACTTCTGTGGGAAAACCCCCCTCCCCCCTCTCCACCGCATTGAGTTGATTTTTTAGGCGCCTCAAAACTCAACTCAGGGCACACAGAGGAGAGGACATGCCCAGTGTGCACTTCTGTGTGAAAACCCCCCTCCCCCCTCTCCACCCCTCCCTCCACCCCTTCCTACCTGCAGTGCCGTGATGCCGAGGGCGGTGTTGAGCAGCAGGGAGGAGCGCGGGTGGAGAGGCAGCTTGCGCGCCGAGTACCACATGCCTGTCACTGCAGCGAGAGTGCTTATAGCGAGTACCCTGTGCTGGAACTGGAGGGGGAGATGGGGACAAGTCAGGGGCAAGGTGAGGGGCAAGATCAGAGACAAGAGTAGTGACAGGTGAATTGAATGGGGCTAGCGGATTGCAAGTAGCCTGTGGCTGGTGCTGCGATTTCGTTCTGTGAGACGTTGGAAAGACGATGCACAAGATCGCACATGTTGTGGGTTCCTTCACGGGTGTGAAATGCGTCTCAGAAATGTCCTTCTTTCACGCCCATGACATGTCTGGCTGAATGGAGGAGTCCCTTGAAAATCTCAACAACACCCACACCACACCACACCACACCACGCACTGCTGGTGTTCTGAACTAGCAACCAACCATGACAGCACCCACGCACCTGCACGGCGGAAGTGTTTTCAAAGAAGTTGCGGTGCAGCGGAGTCATCTCCAGTATCTCTGGCGGCACCAAAAGGTGTAGGCGAGAGCACCCACCCACACACCCAACCATTCACCCACACACCCAACCATTCACCCACACACCCAACCATTCACCCACACACCCAACCACCCAACCACACACCCAACCACCCAACCACACACCCAACCACCCACCCACCCACCCAACCACCCATTCACACACCCAACCACCCACCCACACACCCAACCACCCAACCACACACCCAACCACGCACCCACACACCCAACCACCCACCCACACACCCAACCACCCACCCACACACCCAACCACCCACGCACACACCCAACCACCCACCCACACACCCAACCACGCACCCACACACCCAACCACCCACCCACACACCCAACCACCCACGCACACACCCAACCACCCAACCACACACCCAACCACCCAACCACACACCCAACAACCCACCCACACACCCAACCACCCATTCACACACCCAACCACCCACCCACACACCCAACCACCCAACCACACACCCAACCACGCACCCACACACCCAACCACCCACCCACACACCCAACCACCCACGCACACACCCAACCACCCACGCACACACCCAACCACCCACCCACACACCCAACCACGCACCCACACACCCAACCACCCAACCACACACCCAACCACACACCCAACCACGCACCCACACACCCAACCACCCACCCACACACCCAACCACCCACGCACACACCCAACCACCCACTCACACACCCAACCATTCACCCACACACCCAACCACCCACGCACACACCCAACCATTCACCCACACACCCAACCACCCACGCACACACCCAACCACCCACCCACACACCCAACCACCCACCCACACACCCAACCACCCACCCACACACCCAACCAACCACCCACACACCCAACCACCCACCCACACACCCAACCACCCACCCACACACCCAACCACCCACCCACACACCCAACCACCCACCCACACACCCAACCAACCACCCACACACCCAACCACCCACCCACACACCCAACCACCCACCCACACACCGAACCACCAACCCACACACCCAACCACCCACGCACACACCCAACCACCCACCCACACAACCAACACCAACCCACACACCCAACCACCCACGCACACACCCAACCACCCACCCACACACCCAACCACCCACCCACACACCCAACCACCCACCCACACACCCAACCACCCACCCACACACCCAACCAACCACCCACACACCCAACCACCCACCCACACACCCAACCACCCACCCACACACCGAACCACCAACCCACACACCCAACCACCCACGCACACACCCAACCACCCACCCACACAACCAACACCAACCCACACACCCAACCACCCACGCACACACCCAACCACCCACCCACACACCCAACCACCCACCCACACACCCAACCACCCACGCACACACGTGCACGACCACGCACTGAACTGACACCTACCCACGCATGCGTTCACCCACGCACCTGCACGGTGGCAGTGTTTTCAAAGAAGTTGCGGTGCAGCGGAGTCATCTCCAGAATCTCTGGCGGCACCCAGTGGTCACCCATGTTGGGGAACGTGTTGAACGCGCGGCCCTGGGGGTTGTGGAGGAGATGGGGGAGATGGCGCAAGGGAGGTGTACTTGCGAACTTGGAGCGTGCTTGTGAACAGCCTCCCTCCGGCGCCACCCAGTGGCACCCAGTGGTCGCCCAATAAGGGGGGAAGGTGTTGAACGTTCTGCCCTGAGGGGGGAGAAGGAGCGGGCACGAGCAAGGTGTACTTGTGAGCTTGGAGCAACAGGTGTCTGAGGCCACCCAGTGGTCGCCCATTAGGGAGAAGGTGTCGAACGCACGACCCTGGAAAGGGGGAAGGTGGGGAAGACGGCACGAGCAAGGTGTACTGGAGCGACCTTGAAGGCTGTTTCACGGGTCTCTGGCAGCACCCAGTGGTGGGCCATGAAGGGAAAGGTGTGGAAGCGGGATCCTGGAGGGGAGAGGAGGGGACGGCACGAACAAGATGAACGTGTGAAGTTGAAGCTGCGTGTCGTTCACCCAGTGCGAACGAGGAGGGTACGAACGAGGAGGGTACGAACGAGGAGGGTACGAACGAGGAGGGTACGAACGAGGAGGGTACGAACGAGGAGGGTACGAACGAGGAGGGTACGAACGAGGAGGGGCTTCTGTCGGCGGCACCCACCCAGTGATCGACCATGGGACGAAAGGAGCTGACTGCTCGACCCTGGCGGGGTGGGGAGGTGGGGGAGGGGAGGACGCATGGAAGGGGCACGAGAGAGGAGGGGATGCAGGCACTTGGAACTTGTTGCAAAGGGTCACTAGCGGCACACACAAGTTGCCTCGCCCATTAGGGGGAAGGTGTTGTTGAACGCCCGGCCACGAGGGGAAGGGCTCCAGGAGTTTGAGAACAGTGCACCAGGAAAGGATGTAGAGAGAAAAGATGCAGAGAGAAAGTGGGAGGAGAGAAAAAGCGGAAGAGAGGCGAGGAGAAATGTGATGTTACATGCGCTCATAGCCATTCGCAGCACCAACAGCGCCATTGTCAACCATGTGTGCAGTAACAGCAGTTATTGGATGCAACGAAGCACACTCACAGCATCATTGCAGGAGACAAAGGCACCGGAGACAAAGGCACCGGAGACACGAGAGGCACCGGAGAATGCAGTGGCGGCCAGGCCAGCAGCATGGCCACTGGACGCACCAGCGGCCGCAGCCCAGCTGCTGCCTGCAGCTGACTTGTGCTTCGACTTTCAAGTGAGCTGTAGAGTGGAGTTTTGAGAGGACTGAAACGAGGGCGAGCGGCACAGCTGGTACAGTCTGCACTAGGAACGAGAGACACTCACAGCATCGTTGCCAGCAACGAAGGCACCAGAGAATGCAGTGACGCCGAGAAGCATCGCCACTGGGTGCACCAGCGGCCGCAGCTTTGCTGCTGCTAGCAGCTGAGTGGAGGTTGATGCGGGCGGCGTGGGGAAGAGGACGTTCAATGCCGTCCAGAATATGCCTGTGGGGTAGAGGAGAGGAGATGCGATGGGAGGAAAATGTGGGGTTCAGTGTGAAGAGAATGTGGGGCGAAGAGAAGTGAAGAGGACTTGGCAGAGGGCAACGAGTAATTAAGCCCTGCATAAATACATCCACATGCTACACTGCTTGTGTGCTTGCAATGAGTGAGTGGGAGGTGCAAGGAGGGGCGAGTGCGATAGGGAACGATGAGAAGGAGATTCATAGCCGTGCATGTACCAAGGGCATCGCATGTTGATAGGCGGCAAGGCAAGGCATCTGGCAGATTGCAAGAAATTCACGTGAGAGAAGACGACTAGATGCAGACCCACCTGAGAAGATGACAAAAGTCAATGCAGACCCACCTGAGAAGATGACAAAAGTCAATGCAGACCCACCTGAGAAGATGACAAATGCGGATGTCAGGTGAGCGGCCAGGCGGTAAGGGCTGACTCGTGGCACGGCGTGCGGATTGGCGGGTTCCTGATGTGCAGGGGAAGCGGAGAGGGTGAAGGGAGAGGGTGAAGGGAGAGGGTGAAGGGAGAGGGTGAAGGGAGAGGGTGAAGGGAGAGGGTGAAGGGAGAGGGTGAAGGGAGAGGGTAGGTTGGGATGGGACGAGGGGAAACAAGAAGGAATAAGTCTTCGAGGCCCAATTTCACCATCCATCAGCCAATCAGCCCGCCTGACCCCGCCCACTCACCTCGCCTAAACTCCTCATCTCGTCAGCTCATCTCACCTTCCCCATCCCACCCATCTCCCCTCCAGCCCTGATTTCACCATCCACCAGCCAACCCGCCCCCTCAAGTGGCCTAAACTCCCCACCTCCCCACCTCACCTCCCCACCTCCCCACCTCACCTCCCCACCTCCCCACCTCACCTCCCCACCTCCCCACCTCACCTCCTCATCTCCCTCACCTCATCATCTCCCCTCACCTCCTCATCTCCCTCACCTCATCATCTCCCCTCACCTCCAGCCCCGATTTCACCATCCACCAGCCAATCAGCCCCTGCGCCCCGCCCAGGCCAAACAGCACGGCGCAGCGGGCGGCGAGCTTCGACTTGATGCGGCCACGTGCGGCAAAGTAAGCGGCTGGGAGGAGGAATAGCAGCCCGAGCGCCCGGCCCCACATGCGGTGACCGTACTCCATCCAGTAAATGAACTTGAATTCATCAACAGTCATGCTGCTGTTGACCCTGTGGGAGTATGAGGAATAAAAGGAGTAATTTGATGTTGTATAGTGGGTTAAGAGGGGTTGAGAAGGTTGAGAAGAGCAGGCTGAGCGCCCCCCCCCACATGCGGTGAGCATACTCCATCCAGTAGATGAACTTGAACTCATCGACAGTCATGCTGCTGTTGACCCTGTGGGAATGCAAATGGAAGGAGGAGAGCAGAATAGCAACGAACGTGAGGGCCAGGGCTGTCAAGGAACATTCCGCCACATGCGATGAGCGTACAAATAGGCAAACCGAGGCAACAAAACATCCCGAATCCGATCCTGGCGACAAATAGCCATGCTTCCTTTTGCTGCTGTTCACTGCACCCACGCGCACGCAGCCACTGCAGCAGCAGCAGCAGCAGCAGCAGCAGCGCCGCCAACAGTACCACAATGGCCGTTTAGATTCAGGCGATTTGCGGTACGTGTCAGTCATGGAGAGGCCTGGGCGCGTGAGGCGCGTCACTCCCCCCAGCACCACCAGCACCACCACCACCACCAGCACCAGCACCAGCACCAACAGCACCAGCAGCACCAGCGCCCACACCCACCCACGCCCTTACCGTTTAAACTCTGGAGACTGTCGGTATTTGTCAAACTCGCCCGCCCACTCCTCCTCGCTCCTGGGCGCCTGCTCGCCACTAAACTTCCAGTCAGTCATGGAGAGCCCTGAGCGCGTGAGGCGCGTCACACCCCCAAGCACCACCAGCGCCCACACCCACGCCGCACACACCATCAGCCACCCCCCCACCGCCCTCTCCGCTGCCGCCCCCCCTGCCACTAGCGCGTGCTCGCCTGACGTGGCGGGTGCTGACGTGGCGGGTGCTGACGTGGCGGAAGGGGATGAGGTAGGGGTGCTGGATGCTGCTGCTGGGGTGGCGGCTGGGCACACTGCGGGGGACGTGGCTGAGGGTGCTGACGTGGCGGAGGAGGTTTGGAGCGTGCGGATTACATTGGCTGGGGAAGAGAGGGAGGGGGATGACTGGAGTGCTGCAGAAGTCGCGGGAGATATTTTGGTCAGCATGCTATTGGTTGATCGCATGTGCGGTCTGCTGATGGTGGAGATTTGCTGTATCGCATGATGACGTGGTACAAGCGTGTTGAATCCACGTGTCAGTGAGAGTGCGGAAGGACTGCTGCTGAATTGGCTCACATTGACCGGCGTTGACCCGCTTGACTTGCTGTGGGCGGCACTGAACGCAGCGGGGCCGCATGCTGAGCTGGCGCTTGTCGATGCGTCTGTACTCGTGGCAGCGTGGTAGTGGCTTGATTGAGTGGCAAGAAGCGGATTTGCTTCCAAAGGCACGGATGGGAATGACGTGGCATTGTGTGACGTGGCAGGGTGGGAAGGAGGTGGCCGCGGGACGGAGAGACGAGATAGCGAGCAGACACGTGTGCTGATGATAGCGGCGGAGCGGCGCTGCCACATGGCGCGATCTTATTGGCGGAATGGAACTTTCAGAGGTCAAACGTAAATTCAGATGTGAATGCGAAAGGCCTACGCAGCACACACGACGGGTGTAGGCAGTAAGGGACAGGCGGAACGGTGAGGGCGGACAGGAACAGGCGGAAAGGTGTAGGCGGAAAGGCCGGGCGGACGAGGGAAGCACGACGGGCCGGATCTGCAGTGCCCGAAGCGCTCACAGGCGGAAGGCGCTCAGGTGGAAGGCGCTCATAGGCGGAAGGCGCTCATAGGCGGAAGGCGCTCATAGGCGGAAGGCGCTCATAGGCGGAAGGCGCTCATAGGCGGAAGGCGCTCATAGGCGGAAGGCGCTCAGGTGGAAGGCGCTCACAGGAGGAATGGCATGTCGCTCAAAGGCGCTCAAAGCCGCTCGTCGCGGCAAGCGGCTTTGAAGAAGATAAATTTAGCAAAACCGCACACGGCTCACCGACAAATACAAACCAGATCGCACGCGTTGACGGAGAGTCGCCTGGGTGACGTTTTGGATGACGTGGTGCGCTGGAATATCCCAACGAAGCTTCGCATCAAATACTAAACTTAAAGCCCCGAGTTTGCGGCTTCGAAATTTTGATTTTGAAATTGTGCGGGGACCACTGGTGAGCAGGTTTGGGAAGAGCGATAGGACTTGTATTTGGTAACCATGTTTTGAGTTTCCAAAGCGTTTGTGCAAGGAAAAACCCTTTTCCTTACAGGGGTTTACTCAACCGCGTACAACCCCAACTTTCGCAAGTGCACGTTCGGCCACTTTGCTTGCTGCCGAAGCAACCTCGCGTCGCCTTCGGCTTTCCTTGCCCAACCTGCACCCAACCTCGTGTTCGAGGTTCCCGCCTAGCTAGGTTGACCCACTATATTAGCGCGTGCCTTCATTGTATTGTCAGTTCATTGAGTCACATCTTCGTTATTCGTTATTCCGCGCACTCTCTTTTACAACTTATAACACCTGGTATCAGAGCTACTTTCCTAGTTCACCCCGCTTTTCGAGGGTAGTTTGGTGGCACGGGTGTGGTCGGTATAGTGGACTACACGACGGTTGGCTGCAAGATTTGTTAATTCAATCCTGCCCGACTCCGATAGTTCGTGTTTTTCACTCACCGGAAGGCCACGGATACCCCTCTGCCCACCAGACGAAGCGTACGACTCATGGACCAGGAGAAGTTGTTGGCGCAAATGGCAGCACTACAGGCAACAGTGAAGACACTATCGGCAGAAGTGACAACACTACGAGGAGAAAACGCCGAGCTACGCCAGACGCGAGGTGAAGCGCGTCAGGAGTCGCCCGATGAAGAAGGCGAGGGCAACAGTCAAGCGGTGAGCAACCCGTTGGACGCGCTCACACGTGAGTTCGAAGAAGAAGATAGGCAGCGAGCGGCAGCGACGCCAATTGCAGTACGACGATCAAGATTACACACGTCAACCCGCCCCCGTTCAACCCTACGGACAAGACTACCACGGTTAAGGGGTGGCTTTTCGGCGTTGAAGTCTTCTTCACTGCAGCAGGCGTGAACGACGATGCCACGCATATTAATTACGCGGTTTCGCTTCTTCGAGGCGCAGCGCTTGAGTGGTGGCGCCGAACCTTGGACATGGGGACCTCGACAGGTGTGACACATGCGGCAGACGGAACTTCAACGTCGGTTTATCAAGTGGCAGCACCGATATTCGGCGTGACCAAGATACGCACGTGGAAGGAGTGGGGCACAGCCTTACGAGACCGCTTTGAGCACATATCCGGCTCGGAGCAAGCTCGCATGAAGCTGCGTACCTGGTCGCAGTTGGCATCTGTCCAAGACTACACAGCAACGTTCATGGCCCTCGCCGACCAAGTGGACGACATGTCGGAAGCGGAGCGGTTAGACAAGTACGTCAGCGACCTTAAATATGAGATACAGTATGAGGTGCGCCGATGCCGCCCGACATCGTTCCTGGAAGCAGCACGGTTGGCAGAATCCACGGACGCGCTGATGCAGTACGCGAGGTCGAGTTTCCGGGAGGGAAATCGTTTTCGCGGCCAGACCCAACGGGCCACGATCAACGGAGTCCATGCACCAGAACGCCCCTACACAGGGTTGTGTTATAAGTGCGGGAAGCCGGGTCACAAATATGCAGACTGCCCCGAGAGAATGCCGGCAAAGAGGAACGACGGGAAAGAGCCGGGAAATGGGAAGAGTCAGTAACAGACGGGCCCCTTACTGACTGTGCTCTGTCGCCCGAACACCATCATCCCCACCGAGTCGTGGTTCCGATTCATGCAATCAATCGCACTCGGCCGAATAACGGGGATAACCATGTGGATCACCCTGTGCTGGTCGTTGGCAAAGTGTTAAAAAAATATCTGAAAATGTTCGTCGACGGAGGGGCCAGCCATAGCCTCTTCAACTTGGCGACAGCAAAAAAATGCAAGCTGCAACTCAGCAAAAAAATGCAAGCTGCAACTTGAGAGGTGTCTGCCCGAAATCGACGCTCGCCTCGTGGATGGGACGCCTCTGGCGATTTTGGAAGGAACACGGACGGTGCGGATCGAATGAGGCGACGATTTCGGCTTCAGCATGAAGTTTCTCGCGACGACACTGGATGGCTGCAACGTGCTGCTGGGACGTGATTGGCTGCGACGGCACAACCCCGTCATCGACTGGACAACGGGATCATGCAGCATCAGCAAGCACGAGGGGCTAATCAAATTGCCTGCATGGACATCTGACTACATCCAAGCCCCGTGCGTCAAAGCCATCACTATTGCTCGCCACTTCAATTGAGGCGCGTAGCTGTTCGCAGTATGTTTGCGCAAGTTGGCGACCGACACCGACGGAAAGGACATCGAGAAGCTGTGCGCATCTGTACCACCTGATTTAGCGGAGTTGATTCGACAGTACCCGGACATCTTCCCCGACGATCTGCCACCTGGACTACCATCCGAACGTCCCGACGACCACAAAATCCAGCTGGAGCCTAGCGCGCAGCCGACTGTTCGTACACAGTGGCGGTTGACCCAACCGGAACTCGAGGAGCTGCGACGACAAATTGAGGGACTTTTGGAGAAGGGGTTTATTCGACCCAGTATATCTCCCTTCGCAGCCCGATCCTGTTCACGCCGAAGAAGGATGGCGAGCTTCGCATGTGTATCGACTATCGCGCGCTCAACCGGGTGACCATCAAATCTCGCTATCCAATCCCACGCACCGACGACCTCCTCGATCAACTTCGCGGTGCTCGCTATTTCTAGAAAATCGACTTGCGTGGCAGTTACCACCAGATTCGGGTCTTCGCCGACAATTGTCACAAGACCGCGTTTCACACCCGCTACGGAAGCTACGAGTTCACGGTGATGCCGTTCGGCCTCACAAACGCGCCTTCGACATTTCAACTGACCATGAACAGGGTTTTCCGGGAATTTCTCGACAAGTGTGTGATCGTCTATTTTGACGATATTCTGATTTTTAGCAGGACAAGGGAACAATACCTCCGTGACCTTGACGCAGTGTTTAAGCGGTTGCAGGAGAACCGCCTCATCACCAAGGGCAAGTGCGAGTTCTTTAAGCAGGAGTTGGAGTTTTTGGGGCACGTCATCTCCCGCGACGGCATCAAGATCGACCCGGCGAAAATCAAGACTATTCAGGAGTGGAAGTCCCCGACTAACATCACGGAACTTCGGAGTTTTCTGGGCTTCGTGAATTACGTCAGGCGGTTTATCCCGAATATGGAGGGGATAACCGGCCCGCTGACCGACCTGCTGCACAAGGACAGGAATTTTGTGTGGGGGGAGGAACCCGAGGCTGATTTTCAGGAGTTGAAGAACTTTCTCGTTTCCCCTCCGGTTTTGCGCATCGCCGACCCATCGAAGCCGTTCGAAGTCGTCACCGACGCCTCAGATTTCGCCATCGGAGCTGTACTCCTCCAGGATTTCGGGAACGGGCTGCAGCCGATCGCCTACGAGTCACGCAAACTGCAGGCAGCCGAGCGCAATGTCAGAACATATATATAGCTTATGCTGTTGTGTAGGCTATAGTGGGGTATCCCATAGGGGGTACAACCCAATTAGGGTTTCCTATATGTACTCACTTCATTCATAGTTCATTCATTCTCGTTCTCATTTTCACATGGAATCAGAGCAGGTCCGCTCCTAGGGACTGTTCCTTGGGCCCACCGAAACGCGCCTCGAGTCGCGCCTGCCCTTTTTTTTTAGCGGCCCGTCGAGTCGCACCTAGCGGCCCGTAGTGCCGCCCTTACGGTCGCGTCGAGCCGCCATAGCGGCTGCGGCGCGCCGCCCCTTTTCCCGGCCCGTCGCCGCCCTTACCCGCGGCTTTACGCCGCCCTCACCGGCGGCTTCGCGCCGCCCCTTACCTGCGGCCCCGCCGCCTCTCTCGTCGCGGCCCCGCCGCCCGTCTTCGCGGCCCCGCCGCCATCTCTCGCTGCGGCCCCGCCGCCACTCACTGCGGCCCCGCCGCCCGTCTTCGCGGCCCCGCCGCCTCTCTCGCGGCGGCCCCGCCGCCTCTCACTGCGGCCCCGCCGCCCTACTCAGCGGCCCCGCCGCCCGACTTCGCGGCCCCGCCGCTTCTCTCGCTGCG